AGTGCACTAATTCGATTGGGGTCCTGGGGAGAAACAGGATATGATCATGTGATTAAAGATTGTAAGATAATGCATATGCACAAGTGCACTAAGTTTAAGGTGCACATATATAACCTTACTTCTGGGATTTACTAACATTGGAGTGCATGGCTTTGGAACCTTTATTTTTATTTTAATTTAGATGGGAGGTTGTGTGCAATGTCCTAAATTTTTGAAGAAAAAAGCTAGTTGAACAATTAGAAAGTCCATCATGTGGCATGATATTGATACTCATATTGGTCATCAACTGGAAATTTTAGATCTGTCATACAGATCTCTGCTGTTTGTGCTAACAGTAATGGATAGCTATAATAGGTTAAACTTAAAAAACAACAAATGGTCTGATAGAACTTTAAAGACTAACAAAACATGTAGATGGTATCATGAGCTTTTGTGAGCACAACCCACTTCTTCAGATGACCAGAGTGTTGGATGTCCAGAACCAAAAAAAAGGTTAGCATCTTATGTGTAAATAACAGGAAGTGGGTGGGACAGGGTGTCAGCGAGTTTCACAGATAATTGCTGACAGCGTAGGAATGGTAAGACTCAGAACTTGTCTATACAAAGAGTTACTTAATGGTAAATAAATGCACCATGCATTTATACCCCAGCTTGCCACAGACTACCTGGCACTGCCTAATAAGAATTCCATAGTATACTTCAAAACTTTTTGTGCACAGAAGCAATGGTTCATGTGGCCAGTTAGTGTGTAGCCAATAGTGCACCATGGATTTACACCCTATCTGGCAGTCACTCACTCTCCATACAGAAGGGGGGAGGGATAGCTCAGTGGTTTGAGCACTGACCTACTAAACCCAGCATTATGAGTTCAATCCTTGAGGAGGGTCCATTTAGGGCAAATCTGTCAGAGATGGTACTTGGTCCTGCTGTGAGGGCAGGAGACTGGACTCAACTCAATGACCTCTCAAGGTCCCATCCAGCTGTATGAGAAGGTGTATCTCCATGTATTATATTAGTTTAGAAACACCCTCAGGAATCTCAGGTTTGTTCCAAGCTCTGGTGGGCATATACTCTGATGTGTGCCCCACTGCCAGACCTCCCTGTTCCTGGGCTCTCTGGTCCAGGATCATCCATGGTCTGTGTCAGACCATGGATGTTGTTGACCAGAGAGTTCTGGTTAAGGGAGATACAACCTGTAGATGGGTCTGGAAGGTCCATCTACAGTAAAACGCCGACAGTCCGGCATCCAACTGTTCGGTACTCCCAATACTCCAGCATCAAAATGCCAAGTGCTCCTGACCAGCTGATTAAAAAGCCTGCCGCTCAGCACACAAACTGGCTGTAACCAGACAGAGCATAAGGTTGGGGGGAGGGGGATCATGTTACAGTATGGAGAAGAGTGTTTTGCTTCAGCTAAGGGGAAACAGGAGGGAAGGGATGGGGAGGGGGAGGAGCATCAGGTTACAGCACTGAGGAGAGAGATGGGAAGAGGAAAGGGGAGAGGGAGGGAGATTGTGTCCTGGCCAGCTGTTAAGCCGTTCAGCTGTACCAGACCTCCTGATTCTCCGGCAAATCTGATAATCCAGCACCACTTAGGTCCAAAAGGTGCCGGATTATTGGAAGTCTACTGTATAATGAAAATTAGCATCCATATAGAGTGCTTAAAGTGGTGTTTTTGAAACTGACAAAGTGAGCTGGAACATAGTGCAAAGTGGAAGATTTGCATATTACCCTTACTTAATACATAGCCTTCCATTCCTTCCCTAAAACAAGGCTAAGATGAGATTTCACTACATGGCTTAAGTTATGTATGAGGTTTTTTAAAAGACATCTCTTCTATTATATTTATGACTAGAAGACTTACCCGGCATTGCTCAGATTCTACAGGGCAGGGGGGCTGGCAGTGTGGGGGATGCTGGAGTCAGGGAAAGGGTTTGGGAGGATTAGGGCAGGTAGCATGTGTGAGAGGGAGCTCAGAGCAGGGGGTAGAGGTGCAAGAGTCAGTGCAGGGAGCTGGGAGGGGCTCTGGATAGGGGTTGGGTGTGCAGGAAGTTCTGGGGGGGGGCTGAAGAGTCTGGGGGGCTCACCAGGGTTGCCTGCAGTGGTAAGGATGGTGCTGCAGCAGCTGTCCCCCCCATCTCCTCGAGAGGAGGGGAGGAGTGAGGTGGGATTGTGAAGCCCACCTACAGCCACAGCCCCAGCAGGCTCTTGGAGGTGGGGTCAGGGCTGTCCTGCCCAGCCCCGCAGATCTTCAAAGCGTGTAGGGGGCATAGCTGCACAGCATGGCTTGGCTCCAGCAGGCCCTAAAAGTGTATGAGGCTGCACTGGCTGGTCCCAGCAGCTCCTCCAGTTGGTGGGGGAGGGGGAGGAAACTGGGCTGTGCATCCCAGCCTGGCCTAGGCAGCGCCTGGGTGGGGAGAGGAACTGTGTGAACCAGCGGTGGCCGGGCTGGGCTGGGCAGCGCATGCGCCATGCGTCCTGGGGGCGGGCCCCGGGCTGCGCGCCAGCAGACATGGCTGAGCAGTGCATGTGCCATGCACCCCGGGGGCAGGCCCACATATGCACCATGCGCCCGGGGGGGTGTCACGTGCCCGGGCCCGGGGTGCCAAAGTGGCTCGGGCCAGCTCTGGGTACGAGAGCACTTATTCACGGCTGGTGGCCAGCAATGTGGAGAGCCCTGGCCCTAGCTGGCCACCCTCTTCTTTGTGCGGCTGCCCCCTGTGGTGACTGATGTATAACTGTCCCCTTGTGCTCACTGACTCCAGTGATTTTTGGGGAACATAGCTGACCCTGCTCTCAGCCCCCCGCCTTTCTTTGTTATGGAAAACAGGATTCTTTGATGAATACATGTACTATGAAACCTCTCCTGTTAAATACCCATAATTTGTTTTATGTATTTTATTATTTGTATGTGGTCGTGTGAATGTGCCTTAGTAATAGATTAGGATCTCATTGCACTGGGCAATGTAGAAACACACAAGAGAGACAGTTCAAGCCTCAAATAGCTTACAGTCTAACGAGTCTAAAATCTAATTATTCTAACAACACAAATATATTTTAATTGCATTAAAGCCCAAAACAAACTACAATTGGCTATGCAGTAAAGATGAAGACTACTGGAAGGGCATGTTATTCTACGGAAATATCTGCAGTACCTAAGAGGACTTGATAATTTTTTTTGCATATAAAAAATGGCTTTAAAACAATTCCACAATCTAATTAAAGGACTGTGAAATGAAACTCAGCCGTTCAGTGACAGAACTTGAACATGACATGACAAAAAAGGGAACATTCATAAATTCACAGATTCCAAGGCCAGAAGGGACAATTGTAATAATCTAATCTGACATCCTGTATAACACATTCCAAAAGACCTCATCCACATCTGCTTCAAGCCCATCATTTCTGTTTAAGTTGCAGGATCTTTTAGAAAGACATCCGGTCTTGATTTAAAGACTTCAAGTGATGGAGAATATACCACAGCCTTAGTTGTTCATTGCAGCAATATAAAAAGGCATCAAATTGTCAAGAGTATGCAGAGGAATCTGCTGAAAATGGTGACAAACTACTCAAAATCTATAAGATTTTCAGTAATCCACATTACTCACTAAATTCAATTGACTATATTGGTTTACATGCACAAGTGGAAGAAAGTCTTGCAGTTGCTCTTGAGGGATTTTAAATATTTACTTCAACTCATCTTTGAATCCTGCACATGCTCTAAGAGTATTTTAAAAAAGAAAAAATTTAATGTTCACAAAGCCAGACAGAATACTAAATGTGCACACTACAAATCAAATACAATAGATTACAAAATTAAAATATTATATAATAATTTACAGTCATTTTGTTACCCAAATCCACAGTCTAAGTATGGCTTCCAAAAATCACTTTCCACATTTTAAGTTATATCATTATAGGTTCTGAGAGAAGGGGATAGGAAATCCATAGCAGCCTTCTCTCCTCTGCTGAAAGAAGAGAGAAATAGATCCCCCCTCGAAAGGTTCCATGATACTCTTTCTTCATCCTCATACTCCATTATCACTAGCTGTCCTTGACCAAGCTTCCTTGTCTTCCTTATCATGTGACAATGAGAAACAATCACGGAAAGTCAAATTCTTCTAACAATGAAGCAGAACTTTAATGGCATAAGAAAAACTGTTTTCTCCTAACGCTAAACTCTCCCAGCAATTCACTTTATACCTTTGGTGCAGAACTTTCCCATACCATTGTCTTCATTAATTGAAAATTAAAATATAAAAATATTTATACTATATAAAATGTAAGTAATAACTGTGTACATAACATTGCTGAGCCTGGCTCTGAATTCTCCACACAGCATCAGCATTTATTGTCCCCAAGACAATCTCTTTTGGAGATCCAGTCTCACACCTTTCTGATAAATTCCATCCTATCCCAACAACAACAGATATACACAGATCCTTACCATAATCAGCAGAGTTCACCAGCAGAGTTTAAATTAAAACAAAACTTAAATTAGAAGTTCTACATGGGGAGAGAAACATGCAGAGAAAAACTGCTTCTCTCTTGCCTTGTAAGTTATACTCCTCTGGCCATCTATCACACAGTTATTATAGAAAGGAGTCTGTCCCACTTATGCATATTATGAAACACACAGAAGAAAACAGTAAAACTTATAGAACCTCATATGAATGTGCACATGGATAAAGCTGTCTTTAAGCACATGAAACCTGTTGTTTTGGCAATTAGCCAAATCAGCAGGCATTCAACTGCATGATTCTTTATGTTTTTGTAACTAAAGGCAATAGTCATAAATCAGATAAAGAGCACAAGCTGTAAAGTTGATCCTTATCTTTACCAAGGTGATAACTGCACCCGTGATATCCAATTATAAAGGAAACCAAATCAGAACAAATTCTGGATCATGGACTCATGTACAATTCTGGAAGTCAACTTGAAGGATCACACATGTTCATTTTCTGAACTTCCAACGAGTGAGCAAATCACATCCCACTTACCATCAAACTTCTTGTGCCTGGACACAAAAGTGGTTCGCACAAAGTGACTTGTTTCCTCCACCAAATTTTCAAACTCCAGTTTGCTCTGTTGGCTCAACTTGTCCTCCATTTCTGTGGTACAGCATGTATACTCCTGAGGACAGATTCGCAAATGTTCCCCTGAAATAGTAAAAGAAAGTACATTGTGGTAAGCAAAAGTTTCTTATTACCTTACTGAGAGTTTTCTCTTTACCTAACCTCAGATATCAGAATTGCATATTTTGGCAGCCTTGTCATACAAATCTGGTTAGACACAAAGGGTTAGCATTCCTTGATGTGTCCTTATGCCCGTTTGACTGCCTTAGTGCAGCAACATTTTCTTTACACTTTCCCCCTTCAGCTCAAGAGAGTGTGTTTTAATAGTAATATTTTAGTTCCACATGTTTTCTTGGATGACATCCATTGTCAGACATAGCAAATGTTCCACTTAAAGCAAGCACACAATAAAGGATTTAATTAATGCTTATGTTATGTTGAAATGCAACGTTAAAGGAAATGAAAGCCTGTTATTTAATTCATGATTTCTCTCTTTATGCAGTGACAATATTGCCTTCTTCAGTGCAATTTCCAAGTGGAAGCCAATTCTGAAGTTCATGAAATTAAAGTGGTCTGTTATTACAGGAAAGTGAATTTCCAATTGATGTTGTACTCTGGGTGTCAGAAATGTTTAGCCTGGGCTGTATGAAGGGAAGAAATTCCATCTCTCTGTTGAGAAATAAGAAAAAAGATAAGCTGTTTATTAGCAATGAAAAGATTTAGCTTTCCAAATACTATATCCTGATTAAATTCCTCTGCAAACCTTTGTATGATTCAAATGATGATGGATAAACTCAAGGATTAAATACATATTGGAGACTTGATTCTCATTTATCTGAAGGCCACTTTGCACCACTCTGGAGTGTAAAGAGGACTTAAAATGAGCCTGAGTGAGAATCAGGCCCTGGGTGGCTCTCAGAAGAGAGATACAGTAATTTATTTATTTACCATCAAAATAATTCAGGTATTGAAATAAGTACACATGCTTGGAAGAAATATTGTGTTTCACAAGAATCACCCCTTTACTTTATTCAATTTTCAACAGAAGCCTGTTGTGCTGAAGTACAATCATTTTCAATAATTAGTTTATTCTTATGTGAGTTTTCACATCAGAAGTTTCTTTTAGAAATTTGAAAACTTTTTTTTGTGTGAAGTTGAGATACTCTATCTTGGAGGCAGATTATTTCACTGTCACTCTCTCTACTGATTTGTTCTGCAGTCACACCAAAGAGCCCTAGTCATGGATCAGGACCCCATTATGCTAGGTGCTGTACCAGCAAAACACTACAAAAGAGTGGTGGGTGTTAGTGATGATCTTACTGCTTATTAGAAATCAGAAATAGAAAGAACAGTGAAAATTACATTACTTTGAAAATCCATCATTACAAACAGATTTGCTCCTCTGAAGTGATTATATAACACTGAGAAAACATTGCCGGACATTGCCTTTCCAAATGTAAGAAAATCCTTATGCAAAAAGGCTCAGTAGGTTTTTTTGGTTTGAAACCAAAAACTCTGGAAAAAGAAGTACTTTCCTCTTTCCAGCTTTGGGAATAGTTTATGTTTTCTTTATATCACAATTACTTATTTTTGTCTCTTTTTTCCATGTCCTCACTAACTTGGGAATGTTCTCAATTCCTCTCTTTCACCCCACATCTGTTTCTATTACCCTTATCAAATATCAGATCTATTCATTATGGTTTCTACTGAATAACAGCTAATAATCAAGGCTAAGCATTTAACTACGAATAGCCACGATTTTAGATATGATTACATCATTCAAAATATCAAACTACAATAAGGGCTAAGAAGTTCAGTATTTCAGCTATTTTGCAGCATCATTAATTTTCTCTATCCTATTTATTTTCAGGCCTACTTTATATTTATTACTGAATTGATTATCAATTTTGTTTTTAAAGTCCATATCATCTCCTTGACTGCCAGAAACTCATTCTGTTTCACATCCTCCTCCCCTTTCTCTTTTTTGGGGGAGGGGTAAGAAAGGGGGCAATTATTTTTTCCTCTTAAGAGACTGTGTGTTCTCTTCTGTTTAGTTCCTAATACTCTTGGGGTGTGTCTAGACTACAGAGTTTTGTCGACAAAAGTGAACTTTTGTCGACAAAACTATACCTGCGTCTACACTACCGCTGAGTTCTGTCGACATAACATTGACAGAACTCAGCAGTTTTGTCGACGCTGGGAAACCTCATTTTACGAGGCATAACGCCTTTTGTCGACAGAGTTCTTAAATGTACTACAATATTAGCAGAATCATGTCACTATCTTTTATCAGAGTCCTCTCTACGTAAGATGGCCATTGTGATTTAAATTCAAACAGATTCTATCCCATGTAAGAATGTCCCTTGAACATGTATTCAAACTGCTACAATCTCCTTTCTACCGTGATACCAAAAGCAACTATTTACTGATAATCAGCGTATTGGAAAGAGTAATACTAACCAAAAAAAATCACGTATATATTATAAGTAACAAAAAAAATTTGCATTTAGCCCCTGAAATCATTGTGCTCCTGGATGGACTTTATCTGCTGAGAGGCTACACCATTATTACATATTGCACGCACTAAAATTACATCAAAAGAACATTTCTAAGGTGACAAAATCAAGCACTCAAAATTTAGGATATGCCAGAATTAAGGTTGGTGGTACTAATTTAATTTACCCCACTTGTGAGTATGCATTTTGATGCAGTCGAACTGTATAGTTATGTTCTATTTTTTCTATAGGACTGCTGCCCCATTCGGTGTTCAGGCTGAACAATACTAAGACAAGTTCAGCTCCCAACCTTTTGCTTAACCTGTCCCAGACTCCTTACCAACCCATCCAGGCCTCCCTTTCTTCTTCTACCAGTTTCACTGTCTAACCATTCTCAGGCTTGCTCCCCTCTCAAACTCACAATCAGTTTCTCCCCCTCTGTCCAGTGCAAGTCTCATTAGATCTCTTCTCTGATCCACTCCTTTGCCTCTTCCTTGATTCAGCTATGTCCCTTTGGAGTTGAATACGTACCTTCTTTCTCCATGCAGACCAGAGCCCAGAGGGGTGTGTGTAGGTGTGGGTCAACAAAGGGGAGACAGGGACCCCGTTCTCAGTTCCACTGACCAGCCACACGCCAGAGTAGCTGGAGCACAGACCAGGGAAAAAGTTTCTAGCCCACATAATCCTGAGCTGGTGCAGGATCAGTGTGTTATGATGGTTCCTCTGCAGTCTTGTCACATCTACAAACCATGAGGGGCTGCAGCATGCTCAGTGAGGAAAGAACCTTTGCGGATTTTCGCTATTAAACTCTAGCAATCCTCTAATGAGCCTGTGCAAACCGCAATTTTTCAAAGGCTTATAATTTAATCAAATTTGGGTAACTTTTCATGGACATGTTAAGCGCAACTGTGACACACAGGGCTCTGCCCACCAAATTTCAAGTTTCTGCTTCCAAGTATGAGGAGCTAGAATATCTAAAAGAACAAAGAATTTGTAACACAGGCAAAACGATGTATTTGCCCCTAATCTCATTCCCAGAAATGGATGGACTTTTTTTTTTTTTTTTTTAATTTCAGCCACAAAAAAAAGACAAAGTCCACTCAACACCTCCACACAGAGCTAGCATGAAAAATGTCAGCCCAAATTGTGGAAGTCTGGTAAAATTGTAAACAGTTTAAAACAGGGTCTAATAATAGGACATGTCAGCCATCATAAGTAACAGATGGTGCTCCCAGTCCTGTCTATAATTATTTAATCATTTATCTTTATTTTCCTTCTTTAACTTTCCTGTTTTCCACAGTCAATAATACTATGTTCCGACAGAACATCCAGTTCACACCCATTAAGGAACATAGAAAAGGTCATAACTCTGCTTTTTGAATTTTTTTTGTAAAACTTATTATTCTTTAAGAGAGTTTTTGCTGATTATGTGCAAGTTTTCCCCATCAACGAGAGCAATCCTGTCCAGATTGGAAGTAACTCTGGAGACTATTTTTATTATGCTTTCCTTATTTCTTGGTGCAGGTTCATTTCTATTTCTGTTTTGTTATGGATTGTCCCAGGACTCTAACAAAAGGGATTTAAAATTACTGATCTGAGTATTTACACCTCTTAAGTAGTTTGAAGGCTACTACTGTGCTCAAAACTAATGTACTGCCTCTTGCCATGGGAAACACCATATGTTTTATGTTCTCCTAAGTGGCCCAGGATCTGACTGACTAATTTTTCCTTCTTGAAACTGGTGTCTCCATATGACTGCATATAATTATGCTGCACCAGCATTTTGCTGGACTTCAAACAAGTATTAATTCAGCAGTTCCTAGTGACCTACTACAGTTCATCTAACCACTGTGTTTCCAACCAAAGTTGCTGACTTACCTCTCTATCCTTTTGTGGCTTATGTTATATATATCAAACCAATTGCCTACTACAAATTCAGCCACTAGTATTCAATTTCAGTTTTATTACCGCTATAATCTCACACCTGTCTTTCCTCCAAACTGGCAAATTTAACAGCTGAATTTTGTAATCCTACTTGTATGGCCCTTTGAACGTAATAACACTATTTACAAGGTACTTATTTTGAACTCAAATACACAGTAGTTTGCTGTTCCCACAACAAGCCATACAAGCTCACTAGATCTTTAAAAAACTACTCTCATTGAATAATTGGCTTCTACCTCTCTATTAAAGCGCCATAAGTTATCTAAGTATGGTAAATCTTTAAAAAAAGGTAAATCTGAACATATCATAAAACAATATAGGAAAAATTAACCTTTAGAGACCCCAACCACAACAGATTATGATTCTTCTCACCTGTCCGTAGCTAACAGTAGTACCCCAAGTTACAATATTAGAAGTGGAATCATGCTCCTGTAAATCATATTAAGTCAGCCAGATTTCTTATGTGTTATGCTGTTCATTTTAACTATTCCTTATGAGATAGTTTCTGCCCTTTCCATAAATAAAAGCCAGTAATAAACTCCACTATTCATATTGCTCGGCCTGCAGGCATTCAATAGTATGATTGCTCTTTATAGAATTGTACAGTCAATATTTGTTCCTGATTTGTAAATCCAGCACTAAATG